TTTTTATTGCGAATTACAACTGGCATGATCGAACTATGGTTTACAAAACTTGACAAGCTCTGTGGGTGGTAAAGGTAGCGCTGCCACCGTGTCTGTTGCGTTCTCTTCTTCAAGTGGTAGTTTCTTTTTCGTTCTCAATCCTGCAGTTCATTTACTAGAATTTATACCCTTATAATTCGACCACTCAAAAAAATAATTTCTGTTTTCCTTCTTATAAATCTGGCCACTCTCAAAAATAATTATTTTTTCATGATCGAATTAATAGAAGGATTACGGTAGTCAGAATGTTGACAGGTGCTGGGAGTAGTCGGAATGTTGACAGGTGCTGGGAGTAGTCGGAATGTTGACAGGTGCTCGGTGTAGTCGGAATGTTGACAGGTGCTCGGAGTAGTCGGAATGTTGACAGGTGCTCGGAGTAGTCGGAATGTTGACAGGTGCTCGGAGTAGTCAGAATGTTGACAGGTGCTCGGAATCGTCGGAATGTTGACAGGTGCTGGGAGTAATCGGAATGTTGACAGGTGCTGGGAGTAGTCGGAATGTTGACAGGTGCTCGGTGTAGTCGGAATGTTGACAGGTGCTGGGAATAGTCGGAATGTTGACAGGTGCTGGGAATAGTCGGAATGTTGACAGGTGCTGGGAATAGTCGGAATGTTGACAGGTGCTGGGAATAGTCGGAATGTTGACAGGTGCTGGGAATAGTCGGAATGTTGACAGGTGCTGGGAATAGTCGGAATGTTGACAGGTGCTGGGAATAGTCGGAATGTTGACAGGTGCTGGGAATAGTCGGAATGTTGACAGGTGCTAGGAATAGTCGGAATGTTGACAGGTGCTAGGAATAGTCGGAATGTTGACAGGTGCTGGGAATAGTCGGAATGTTGACAGGTGCTGGGAATAGTCGGAATGTTGACAGGTGCTGGGAATAGTCGGAATGTTGACAGGTGCTGGGAATAGTCTGAATGTTGACAGGTGCTGGGAATCGTCGGAATGTTGACAGGTGCTGAGAGTAGACGAAATGTTGACAGGTGCTGAGAGTAGACGAAATGTTGACAGGTGCTGGGAGTAGACGAAATGTTGACAGGTGCTGGGAGTAGTCGGAATGTTGACAGGTGCTGGGAGTAGTCGGAATGTTGACAGGTGCTGGGAGTAGTCGGAATGTTGACAGGTGCTGGGAGTAGTCGGAATGTTGACAGGTGCTGGGAGTAGTCGGAATGTTGACAGGTGCTGGGAGTAGTCAGAAAGTTGACAGGTGCTGGGAGTAGTCAGAATGTTGACAGGTGCTGAGAGTAGTCATAATGTTGACAGGTGCTGAGAGTAGTCAGAATGTACACATGTGATGGGAGTAGTCAGAATGTTGACAGGTGCTGGGAGTAGTCAGAATGCTGACAGGTGCTGCGAATGTTGACAGGTGCTGGGAATAGTCGGAATGTTGACAGGTGCTGGGAATAGTCGGAATGTTGACAGGTGCTGGGAATAGTCGGAATGTTGACAGGTGCTGGGAATAGTCGGAATGTTGACAGGTGCAGGGAGTCGTCAGAATGTTGACAGGTGCTGGGAGTAGTCAGAATGTTGACAGGTGCTGGGAATAGTCAGAATGTTGACAGGTGCTGGGAATAGTCAGAATGTTGACAGGTGCTGGGAATAGTCAGAATGTTGACAGGTGCTGGGAATAGTCAGAATGTTGACAGGTGCTGGGAGTAGTCAGAATGTTGACAAGTGCTGGGAGTAGTCAGAATGTTGACAGGCACTAGGAGTAGCCAGAATGTTGACAGGTGCTCAGAGTAGTCAGAATGTTGACAGGTGCTGAGAGTAGTCAGAATGTTGACAGGTGCTGAGAGTAGTCAGAATGTTGACAGGTGCTGAGAGTAGTCAGAATGTTGACAGGTGCTGAGAGTAGTCAGAATGTTGACAGGTGCTGGGAGTAGTCAGAATGTTGACAGGTGCTAAGAGTAGTCAAAATGTTGACAGGTGATGGGAGTAGTCAGAATGTTGACAGGTGATGGGAGTAGTCAGAATGTTGACATGTGCTAGGACTAGTCAGAATGTTGACAGGTGATGGGAAT